GTAGAAATCGTCCCGCGTGACAAAACTCTTCTGGAACCACTGAGTACTTTAAGCATCTTGAGTAGAGAATCATATTCGTTCCCATCGAAGCAAAACCATTGCTCAATTCCAATTTACTCTAGTTCCTTGTGAACTTCTGGCTTAGGCAGGAGAGGCATTGAGTATGGCTCAAATTATTGCAGTATTTGACATTTGATAGTTTTGAAAAAAAATGAGAAAAGTAGAGTAGTCTATGCATCCGTGGAGAGAACGATGATCAACTCGGCAGTTCAGCACGATTTCCTAGAAGAGAGGCTCCTGAGCATGAAGGATTATGATGGTATGGTTCCATCGTAAAGGAAATTTCAAACTACTCCTCAAACGCTACAATCAAATTCCCTCACACCTGGTTCTGTATAGATTCCATTCATTGAAAAGAATTTTCATCCTATAATCGCTTCCCTGGAGCATATTTTCAAAATGGACTTATCACAAATGCGGAAACCATCGAATGAATGAGAAATCCCACATCGATGGTTGCAACCCTTTGAAACAGTAATCTAAAGAAAATCCACCTCACAACGTCAAGCCGAACTCCAGACCTGTAACAGTAACATCAACTTGCTCGAGGCTTTTCGAGGAAATTTACAAAAAGCGAATTGTGGGCAATTTGGGAAAATATGGACTCGTATCATCTAGGCAGCATCATTCCTATAAAGGGAGATCCACTGTTTTTCCATAATTCAGCCTCTCAATGATTGGACAAAGTGGCTGGATGAAGCGATATCATGGATATGATGTACATAGACTTTTGTTAAGCTTCTGATAAGGTCCCCCATAAGAAGTCATTGTGCGCAATGAGCGTGGATAGAATTCATCCGCGACTCCTAGATGGTTTTCGCCGGGCAAGGATCATCTATTCGCATGAACTCAGCCTTTTCTCTGTCTAGGTAAGCGTACAGCGGTGTTCTCCAGGATGAGGCTCTTTACCCATCTTCTTCAAAACTCACTTGCACGACCTTATGTTTGTGATTGAGCAGGGTAACTTGCGCGTTCGCAAACGATCTTGAACTCTATCATTCTGTCACAAGTGAGGACGAGGCCAAAGTATACTACTTAAATCTGCTATAGCTATGGTAGGCGAACCCAATAAGCGTCACGATTATTAAATTCATAATGCACGTCGAATACTGCACGTTGAATAAACATTTGATCTTCGTTTTCTCGTTAGTATTAGTCTTAATCTTGACTCTTATAGTGGATTAATGACGAAAAAGGCAACGCCTCCCATGTACAACTTGTTCAGAGCCTTGTCTACGACTAGTGCTCCAGTGTTATTGCGCGTTTACAAGAGATCTGTGCTAAAATATGGCACACCAATGTTCAATTTCACAATTCAGAATAACTAAGACTTTAGAATCGGTGCAGAACAGTTCCATGAAGAAATTTTTGATGAGTTTTCGATTTCATACATGACTCCATAGACCCCTTCTAGCGAAATCACAAACAAAAACTTCTGCTTGGCCTCATTGCTGTCGAGACGGAAGTCGATGCAGTGCAGAAGGAATGATTTGTTATTACTCATCAGGGTAAAGCAAGCATGGATCTAAGTCAGGTTTTAACTCCGAGACCCTCTATCATCAGAGGCGGTAGCTTCAAATCGGATGTGAGCAAAGCTAGATTGAATAGTCGACGTCATTTTTTCTCTCAGAGTAGCTCCCTTGTTCGCTACGTTATATGAAAGTGACAATCTTCAGTATCGTCTCACATTGGCTACAAGAATTACATTAGCAGTCGCTTGGTTGTTTGAGCCCGCGAGTACTTGTTCCCTAATTCTTCTCTCAGCCGGCATTTTTTTTATTTCTACTATTAGTTCTTCACTTGTCATGTTTCAACTATGGGTTTGTTTCTTTTGTTGTGATGCTTTGCAGCGTTGCACACAAATTGCAGGGTTTATGATGATGCTCTTTGTTGTAACTTCAGAGACGACTAGTGTAGCACTTTATTTGAATTGATACAAAGAATGGACCATGCCCAGCAGAACACTTTTTAACAGACAACGATAGAGCATAGTAATAGTAAACAGTGCTATCATTCCCCAACATCTCCCCCTATGTTGAGTGTATCACATACTCTGTAGAATAGACGGCTCTGTCGGTTCGTTCGATAAATTGATGTGCGTTTCGATGCGTAACTTCATCATTAGTATCTCTTGTGCGATGCACTTCTTCATTGTGCACTTCATTGTACATTTTTTGTGGATTTTCACGCTGGAAAGGTTCACTAAGTGTTTTCTTTGCTTGATCGTTGGCAATCCATCTCGATCTAGTCCGCATTTGGCTAGTGTTTCTAGTGTTTTTTTTTNTTTTTTTTTGTTTCGCGCAATCCTCTTCACAATTGTCCATTTTCCGTCAGTTCGTCGTATAATATTTGTCCATAACGATTTTTCACGTAGGCAAAAATCAACTCTTTTTGTAGAGGGCTATAGTTCCGATTGTAGACTCGCTCCCAAATATGGTACGATCTTTCACGTGTTCGGCGGTGATGATTGATTTACCTTTCCATTCTTGTCTTCAGTGGTCCTTTTTCATTTTTCATTGTTTTCTCCAGCAAAGTCAAGGTTGTCCGTATCGAAGTCCAAGAAATAACTCTGCTGGAGAAACTTGTTTGAAAGTTGTGGTAGACGGCGTCCTTCGATAGCACTTAAGAAACCCGGCGAAGAATTCTGAATTCTCTTCTCCCTTCGATTCGAGAGAAGGTTTTCCAGAGTATCGACGAAAGGCTCTGCTTGTCCTTTTGATCGCGGATGGAGTGGCGGTGAGCGAATATGTCCTATGCCTTGTTTCTCGTAAAACTCTTGGAACACTTTTGATGAGAACTGTCTGACACAATAAATAGGAGTGGGTAAAAAAAGATACGGTCACACACCTCGCTTTTCACCGTCCCACCGCGTTGTCTCAGAAGAGCATCGGAAATTAGCCTTTCAATATCGACACTCTAGCAAAGCATTTTGCTCTTTGCTCAGCAAACAATAAATAACGCGACCAGAGGAACTAAAATTTCTACCGTGTTCACAAATTGACCACTGACAAATCTGCATCTGAAGTCTCTAGGATGGTTTTTTCCTGTCTATAGCCAAAGCCACGACACACAGTACCTATGGAATTTAATGTTATCCAGTCTTTTTTGAATACTTTGCTAGGCAGTTAAGCACTTGTCCTAGATTTTAGATTTTCCCACAACGCCTGGTTTTATTTATGGGTAGATCTCATAAGGGCATGAGAGAGATGAATGTGGTCCATTCTTAAAATTCAACAAGTTGTTTGTAGGCGTTTTCATGACGTTAACCCTGTAGTCGCCTACGACGTCTTCTCTTAACTTCAACATAAGCTAGTTAGACAAAATTTTCTTCACCAGGTTCTTCAAGCTGCTTTTTTGAGCTGGGTGTGCAAGGTTCTTCTATAAACACTTCAGCATACCTTGCATTAGGTTGTAAGGGACGTTCTGGCCGGTTCGCCAGCTATTTTTCAAAAAGTTACTACTCATCTCAAAGTGAACATTTTTATTCATAATAAGCTCCATTCAATTCTACACATGTTTGCCAACGTGATACAAGTCTGTCTATTCCATTCTTATAAATGTCCGGAGATCTGGATTCCGAAAACTCGAGGAAGGCAGCTTCCGCGTCGCCTTGATTTTTGAATACTCGTTCCTTTAAGAAGCTGTCCAGATGTTTTAGTAAATGGTAGTCAGTTGGTGTTAGGTCCGGTGAGTAGGGTGGATGAGGGAGAGCTTCGATTCGCAGCTCGTTCAACTTCTGGAAGACAATTCGTGACACATGCGGTTGCACATTGTCGCGTAAGAGCAGTAGACCGTGGCGACTGGCTAGTGCTGGCTCCATTTGCTTCAGTTTCGTATACTTCTTGTGAATTTGATCACAATATGACTGTGCGGTGATAATTCGGCCTGGAGGAAGAAACGCGTAGTGGATTAATCGGTGGTTGTACCACCAAACTGAGATCGTTGTCTTCGTGACGTGTAAACTTGGTTTGGGAATTTTTTGCTCATCCACACCCACCCACTGAGCAGAACGCTTCCTGTTATCATACAGGATCCATTTCTCATCGCACTTTACAATACATCATTTTTTCTCAACAGCGAACTTGAACCCTCTAAGCNATTCAGTTGCTGCTGCTCCGTGAAGTCGTGTGGCACCCATATGTCAAGCTTCTTCACCATTTCAAGCAGTTTGAGGTGGGCAGCGACGACTGTGTGGGAGACACCCACATCTTCTTCCCAATCTCTCTCAAAGGTTGACGTCGATCTTCTTCTACTGCTCTTAGCAAAACATCGTGATCAACTAACGATGGTCGACCAACTCGTTCTTCTTCTTCAGGTGACCCATCTCCACTTATAAACTTCTGAAACCAGCGACGAACCCTTCGCTCCGATGCACTGTCTTCTCCCCATACAACGTTGATGTTTGTGGCTGCATCCTTCGCAGTTCGACCAAGTTTGAACGCTTTTTGAACGTGAAGTAAAACCGTTCAAAAAGCGTGAACATCTGGGCTGCTGATCTGATCCTAATCAAAATGTGAATTCTGCATTGGGAGTTCCTTCGACTTTTTGTTTTTCTTTTGTCTGCCGCAGCGTTCCCTAGGTAAGAGCAACTACGGTCACAACTACTTAAGTAGTACTGAGTGATGTCGTGAGTTGACGTACGCGAGTTCTACGAGATACGGCATAAATCTGTGTCAGAACGTGGTCTATCATTGTATTTTCCGAAAAGCGTCGTATTGCTCCTTAATGTTTTTGATTTTCTCCGTTGAATAAACTCGTAATTTTGCTGCTCTCTGAATGAAATTTATTTTCCTTCAAATAAAAAAACGTTGTTTGAAAATTTCGGCAGATCAGTAAACGCTGGGTCACAATCTTCTTGCTGGTGGTCTTTTCAAAAAACATGACAACTGCATTCAATGTAATAAATAGATTACATACAATGTCACTGAAGCAACACCTCTTTAGCTTTTCATAGCGCTAATATGGAGTACTCCGTTCTTGTCTAGGTTGCTTTTCAACGTTTTCGGGTCGACGCCCTTCGGCAATTTGTAGCACCTGAAATACGTGATTAATTACAGCCGGTCCTCAACGGTCCAGGAACTACCAAAATTATCCCCATGATAAGTTCATTTCTAAGTTGTATCACCTCTAACATTGAATGTGTCGAAAAATTGATGATTAGAAATGTTCATCGATCAAAATGCTTTCGTAAATGTAAATGCATTATTTGAGGAACTTTATAGGTATGCAACTTTGCGATTGGAGAATTTCCTTATTACTCTCGAACAGTTGAGATTCCTACTAACTACGTTCAGAAAAAGTGACAATGAGTACCGAAGGAAGTTTCATGGCCGACGATATCAAAAAGATTCGGAGTCTACTATCTCCTTCTCTAATCATATCATTGTAGGATAAGAAAATCAACGGTAGGAAGTTGTTTTTGTACGTTTCAACCTTTATATTTTTCGCGGAAAGCTCTATGGTCCCTTGCACATTGTGCAAGACTACCTCTTTTCTCCTTTTTGATCTGATTAGCCTAATATCCTACTATCGTTAAACGCAGCTATAAATTTCCCTATCATAAAGCACTTAGGTAAGCCAACTTCGAGAATGACATGAAGTCTTTCTGGAAGAATAATAATAAGAGAGACAAGCTTGCAAACTAATGAAAGTTGGAGTCAATAGGAAAAAACGTGGAGAACGTTAATATGTTTAGCCTCAAATTGTCCGGCTTACTCTTGATTCACTCTTATTTCTCCATGTTTTATCCTTTCGCTGATCCCTTACACGAGCATCAATCCTCCCTGAGAAGATACTCTTCCACTCACACCACTCTAACTTCCCCTCTTTTCGTTTCCATTTCGCTTTGTTCCTTACCCTCAAACATACCCACATAAGTGACTACATATCTGACGAAATTTTTTCACTCCGCCAACTTACCTTGTGATGCTTCTAGAGATATTAAAAGTCTCGTCACCACGAGCTTCGTGATCCATGTGAATCTCCAGCAGGTCACCGATAGTTTTCACCTGAAACTTCGTAAAAATCCCAAATGATTTAAGAGATCACCGCAATCCCTCTTTGAACAAGTTGCTTACCTGGATCTCTTTTGGAGTGAACATTTTTGCGTCCAAATCAACTTCAAAATGCGAAGTATCATCAATCACCTGAACTGAGAGCATTTTGATGTTAACCAGAGATACCGTAACTGATAATTGCTGACCTTAACAAAGTCATCGTTTGTCTGCAGAGGCCAGTCCCACTTATAGTCCTTATTATACTCGACAGGAATGCTCATAATCTCGACGTTGCCGTTGGCTGAGTCTGAAACAGCAACCTTTCTAGTTTGATTAGATGTCTCGGAAGAAGAACCAAATCAAAGCTGAATAATCACAATGATATCACAGGAGTCAGTAAAACTACTACGAAATGGTGGGGAATCATGAGGTCCGCGACATGGAACTGATGGTTTAGGCAATGGATGCTGTAAAATGCGGGACTACGTTCCCGATCACGATCGGTGTGAGCCGCTTTTATACCATTACTGAGGGCGTTACGCTTCGTTCCTATCAGCGGCGGCACATTTCTCTGAACAACAGGTATCAAAACACTCATGGACGAGAGGGTCTTATGACTCCGACTGTTCAAGACAGATCCCGAACGCGGCTGTTACTGGCCAAATACTAATGGGACAACAAGCTGCGATTACCCTGATGACTAAGACTCGAAGTAATACTCTCGAATGATAACTTATTTGAAAGAAGCCTGTTCCATCAACTTTGATTACAGTTCGACTTCGGGCAAGAATATATGAGGATCTTTCGTGTTTATGTTTGTTTACATCTATCTATTACAAACATGATGCTATTATATCTCAGAGCTGGCGAAGTGAATATCCATCAAAAAGCGTGCAGTAATATGGGACGGAGATGTTCCGAGAAAACAGTAGGTGTTGTAGAATACTATTCTAATACTGAGTAAGGAAATCTCCAGGAATAACTAACAAAGAGCTCACCTGCAGAAAAGGTTGTTATCAGAAAAGGTTGTTATCTGAAAAATACAAATTCATTTCAGAGCGCTCGAAAGAGTGCTTCGTAAAAAGTCATTTCAAAATAGCGGTCCATTTAATAAAAGTTGAAACAGTACAGTGGCAGCACCTTAGGTTGAGTTGGACTTCGCTTTCCTTCCTACTTGATCATTACTTTGTCTCTTTTTTCAATCCTTGCTACCAATACCCAATTAAGGTGAATATGGATTTCATATTTAATTACACAAATTACGGTTCCTGAAAAAACACCCAATGCTTTTAGGCCATTCAAGCTGAAAGCCTCCGTTCCAAGAATGGAAGCCGTTTCTGAGTGGGGTGTAGTTAGTGGAGCGATTCTTCTCTGAGTAATTCACCAGTATGAAATTTTGGTATTGGGCTGTTACGGTTTGATACTCGAGACAGCATGAGACCATTGAACAAGTTCGGAAATAGTGTGGAAGAAATGTTTACCATTCACTCTCGCCAAATATCAAACAGCTGGGGCTCTTGATACCAGTGATGTAATTAATTTCGCCGGTGATCGGTCTATTTGCGATCGTAGAGAGAGTCGCAAAGTACTGAAATGTCAAGGAGCTGCATCAAAAATCGAGGCAAATGAAAGTTTTGGAATAGGCTCCACTCTCGAAAATAGAGGAAACTAAGCGTAGCCCGCCCGACAAGGTTATGCACAAATGAAAGCCAAACATTTAAGCGATTCATTTCCCCATGGCACACGACTTGGGCCAACAATATGCTTGAGTCTTCCACGAACTGTTCAGCTTAACTAATTTATGAAGCTCATTCATCAATATGCTACACGAAACAGAAGCAACTATGAAAATTCNGTGATCTGAATTTTTGAACCATGTGGTTTTTCCATTTCCGAAATATAGGGGACGAAATGTTTTCTTAGAAAATTATCAGGAGCAGCTGCTTTTGTTTACTCACAGTGTGCTCTCAGACATCAGCCGTAGCCGAGATCCGTCGAAGTGCCAGCAACGATAATATCAGCAGGAAAATTGGCTGGGGGTCCAGATTTTTCGCTCCAAAACTCTAGAACTTGAAGAAGATTGACTCCTGTATTACCTGTTGATTGGATTTCCCATCAACTCCTCTTTAACGTGGGGGATTGAGCATAGGTTCTACTGATTCTACATGCCGTGGCCCTTTTCCACAGTGTTATCCTTGCCACGTTTCCTTGAGTACTTCTGAAAAAAATCGGACTACCATTTCATTCCAACAGCGAAATCGTCTGAACAACATGATGGAAGCTGTGTTGTAGTCATGAACGACACTCGATTTGATGAGGCACTAAACAAACTCGCTGCCCTGTTTTGCGACCTCCTTCCGCCTGATTTCGGAAAATTAGCCAACAAAAAATCAGGATTAAAATTCTAGTGGCTGCCTATCGACTTCATGGAGATTGCTCAGTAGGTTCTGGGGTCAAAACATTCACTTGAATAATGCAGTCGAACAAGATCATGGCAGCTGTTGTTTTTTAACTGGCCAGGGTGGTACACAGAAAACCGAAGGCGTAGCGTCTTTCAAAAATATACGTCAATGTGTAGTCCCCGAAAGAAATGCTACGGCAGACCCAATGCTTCAGAATTCTAGATAAACCTTCACTGATTTTGGGTTTGAACTCAGGTCTTAGAACCTAGAATCATTCGGTGAAGAACGAAACGCGAATCAGACTCCAATTTTAGAGTCATTAAGTTAAGTCCTTGATAGACTCTGCGTCCTCGGCCTCTCTTCTTCTTAACAAGATATCTCACCTTTCAACGAAAGACTAGTTTATCGACGAGCTCTGCCGGAGATTTTTGATTTTGCTGAAAGGATGGTCTTTGCAAAAGAACATCATCTGCAATGGCTGTATTTTCGCCGTAAACGTAACGTCCATAATCTTCTGAACATAGCCTTCTGAACGAATCTAACTCACTCCTGGATCTTTGGTAGGAACCACTTCGTTTAATTTTTATCCAAAAGCCATCATAACGCATATACATCATGTACGTGTATGCAGCTTGAGCAAGTGTCTTACAACCCAGATGAGAAGAGTATCAAAAAGGTATTCATGAATGTTTTCACACTATAAAGAAGTGTTATAATATATTTTCTCACCATTGATGATGTTTTACAGATCTATGGCATTTTCATTGAGTTGATAGGGTTGTATGTAACTAATACACCGCTGATACAAACACTTACTGTAACAATCCCGAAAAGTGTTTGCTCTGAGTAATTTCTTCGGATCGTGTCCATAAGTCCGTACCTTCCTGTTCCACTGTTTCACCTGTTCTTGACCTTTCGTATGCCCGAGTGCTACCGACTAGGCATTCTTTCATGGTGAACTACTTATGCCTGGCACAATGGTGTCTGCAAGATAAATAATGTATTTCAAGTATTATCTCATATAGGGCATAACCTCCTATGCTGAAAATTGTGCTGTGGCGGGAAATTCTGCACACCCCGTACTTGATTTGGGTGTGAAAGCTTAGGGTAGGCGGCACGGGCAGTATTCTATGAAATGTGCGTTGAATTTCGTAAGCATCAAGATTCGGTACTTGATGACTTTTTTCATTTTCTGGCTCACTGAATACACAAGCGAACCTAAATAAAGTGAGATCCTTTGTGTTTACACTCTTATTCATCAGGAATTTAGAAGCCAACGGGAGTGCAGCGGCTAGTTTGCGATTTTGAAAGGCTATCAATCCTACAAACGGTTCTCAAACCACAGAACCTCTATTTTGAAAAGGAACGACTGTAAAATAAACATGTGTGTTTGCCCCATTATGAATGGAGTGATTGAAATAATATTAAGAGAAAAGTATGGCTTATCAAAAGTAGTGAAAACAGAGGCTGGACGAGATTAATATAAGGGAAATAACATGGAAGGGGTATTAGGACGAGATTCCAGTTGTTGCCCTTGCGCAAGGAGCTGACTACATCAAGCCAGAATTGCACAGAATTGCCCTTCGCTGTCACTATGGGTCATGACAAGTTGTTTGAATTTCCTACATAGCTTCCCTTGTGATCGGTGCAGCCCCTACAATGCAGGTGAAACTCGTCCAAGGATACACACGAAGCAATCTTCGAGCCTTTCAAATGCTTTAGCCGTTTTCCGACTAATGACGCCAAATATGGTATACGAGGTACCTCGAATTCATTCTATGGGGAAATCTCAGAAACCACTTTTATCGTAAACTGTGCCGTTAAGCGAGTTTGCCAAACACGTTCATTGGAATTCACTCTATTTGGACAATGATCTAAACAAATCTTCTTGTTAAGGACCTGAGAGAAGTTCCAAGCTCTTGATCTGTACCTTACCCGTTCGAGCCCCAAGCAACCTAAGCCATTTGCAACATGATCCGGAAATTCGTGCACAGAAGTTCTGAATGTCATAAAAGTAATAAAATCTTGGCCGAGGCTCCACAGAAGAACACCCAAGACACTACTTTGCTATAGCCATGCACACATGNTACATCAGGATTCCCTATTCGATGTCGAAGTCACTGCCCTGATATTCTTATAATGCTTACAGGTGGCATAGAGGCTCACGCCTTCAACCGACTAAGTGTTCTTCAGCTGTAATGCCTACTGCTTCTCGTATCATCTATGTATATTCCGTCACAATATGAACACTGAGCTTGATACACTGTTCCTCGTTGTTTACAACCTACATCCCTAAATCCTACAATCCTGCATCCTTGTGTACAGCCTACAGAATAATCATGCAGTCATTCTTGGTGCATGCACGGTCACAAAGTCTGAAGCCGATGAGTTGGGACGTAAAGGCACAGTTCACGATAAAAATCGTTTCTGAGATTTTCCCATTGTATGAATTCTAGGTCTCCTCGTGTATCACGTGTAGCGCTATTAGGTTGGAAAACGGCATAGTTAGAGAGTTAGAAAGGCTCAAAGATTTCACCGTAGGTATCCTCGTACGAGTTTCACCGGCATAGAGGCTGCACCGATCACAAAGAAACCCTGGACATAGGAACGTCAAACAACTTGCCATGACCTATAGCGAGGTGAAAGGCAGTTCTGTACAGTTCTGGCTTAATGTGGTCACCTTTTTACGCAACTGCAACAACTGCAATCTCGTCCCAATACCTCTTCCATTTTATTTTCGCCCTGGTAATTGCGTCCAGCCTCTACTTTCCCTACTTCCAAGGAGCCATACTTTTCTCAAAATCGAAATGAAGTCCTCTTCTGCACAGCGCCGAGCTGACTTTGCCTGTTAGAAAGGATAGCTGAACCACAGTTCCGAAGAGCAATCCACAATCTTAAGCTAAGTTTGAATGAGCAACATTTCTAAATTCGAGAAGTGTAAGTTGGGATTATAGTATCAGTATATGTATATCAAGCTCAAGTACAAAAAAAAATTCATTTTTCCCTTGGAATCAATTATGATATGCATTGGGAATATTTTGTTTCGATGCGTGGAGTAACGTGAAAATTTTGAAATACGATATACTCACAATGGTCATGTGGTCAGTAACGAAACCTATTTTTGCGAAGCTGGAGAAGTGAAGTGAAGCTAATAGGCAGAAATCGTTCAGCAGGGTATTGGGCCTAGTGTCCACTCGATACGCTTATCTTTTGCAATAGCATAATGTGCTGCTCTTTATGAGCATCATTTGCAGTGTTGTATTTCCACTCTTGCTGTACCTCATTTGCGAAATTACTCTCAATATTATGACAAGCAGTGCTCAAATTCTTCGCTTCGGTTCTTCGCTACGCCCATCCTTACACACCGTCCGCCGCAGCTACCCCGAACGTCCTCTTTCTTGCAAGTGTGGATCCTGTTGATTGTGAATGTGGTTGATTCATACACACTATATGTGTAGAGAGGGCGTGGTGTCCCCTTCTCATGTTACCAACAAAGAGTTATCTTTTGAGACCACTCCCAACAATTTTACCTCTTGCAACAAGTAACGTGATGATACAAATTGCCAATCTTGTTTGAGCAATGCGAGGACCCTCGGTAGAACGTGATTCATTCGCTCATCATCACGAGGCAACGTTGAATTTATCAACTTCTTCATCCTAGAGCATCTCAGATATCCGAAGCTCATTTGTCAAACTCAACTCCAAGGTGAGCAATGCATGCCTCATTCGGTCAATACCTTTGGGGGTTTACTGGTCTTTTTGAAGTTTTGTTGGAGTTTTGTTGAGGCTTCCGGGCGAGCATGTCACACCTACGCTTTGCCCTATTTCAGGCCCTGACGAACGCGAAGCAGCCGAAACGTTGGCCAAATAAATTATTCAATCTTGAGTGGCTTAGAGAGTATCACCTTAACTACATATCATGCCAAGATTGGAAGGAGGTCGATCATGAACTATTCATCAAACGTTTATTACACATTTATTACTGATTATTTTTATAACAGGAAGCCACTAAAGTGTTTATCTCTTCACATGTAGCAGTTGGAAGGAACATTTTTGCAAAAGAGCAATTCCGTCCAACCCATTTTAGAACATCGGATACGCCATAAGACGATGCATAGTGTTCAACCTGCAAGATCGGTACCGTAGATTTAAATATTTGGTAACATATATTACATAAAGGAATAAATCACTGAATTGGCTGCAACTTCATAAAATCACAGCCCTTTAAATTTACGAAATACTTGAGGTTGTGGGAATCAAATAAACCGTGCAACTTCGGAGTGGAACTATGCCAAAATAGTCATATGAAAATTCAGTAGGCGATTACGAAAGGACTTTATGCGAAAATCTGGAACATAGTCCGCTTTGATTAGAGCTCGCCAACATTCACCTGATTAAGTTTTTTCCTAAAAGACGCGCGCGAAGTGACCTTGATCAGGTGCGAATAACCTATGGTAATTATGCAGTCCGCACACCGCTGCTGATCGAGTACTTAAAACTTTTGAAGTGAACCTAATAATGTCAGTAAAAAAGATGAAGTTTCTTCGAAAATTGAGTTTTTTTTTTTTTGAAAGGAAAGTTCTAACATCTGAACCAATGATTTTAAGAGCTCTATTGACATGCGTAATAAGTAAATTCGATATATTTCTATTCAAAGTTTCTGGAAAATGGGGAAGAAGCGATTAAGTTCACATTTTACGGAATTTCCGCCTATTTGAGATACCAATTAACTTTACAGAAGCAATAAAGTTCTCTACAGCTGTTAATAATGGGACGCAAGCTCCTCATTGAAAGGTCACTGAACGTCTTCGGCTCACCATTAAGGCCATTTCACAGTTTTTGCAAAAGATCTAAATAATGAAGCTTGAGCTTCCCTTACACGCCTCAACTGACAAGATGGAAATGTCATTCAGAATTCTTCCTTAGAATTCAGGGAGAACCAGAGCTCCGCGGAGGTAAGACCTGCAGAGGAAAGAAAGGATATACAAAGAAATAGAAATGATATTCCGTGAGGGTTTCCTCTCCTTCGGACAGCAAGTAACTATCTCTCATTTTCCTTGATTTGATGATCTTCAACAAGAGAAACAAGTTGTCTTAATTCAAGACTTGATTTTCAGTTCCGTAATGAACGAGTATTCAGACAACGTATGAAAATGAAAATAAGGGACATCGTTGCCTTCGCTAAGAAGTCAGGACAATCGGTCTTGTCATGCGCTTTCATGATGACTGTTGAACCAAGGCGGCAACCGACTGGATTATCAGACCATTGAACGAACACGAAAACTTGAGAACAGCAGCTCGCCGAACGCTCAAGCTTCTCCACGAAAGCTCTGATTGAAATGGTATGCTTCGTGCACGTCGAGGGAGAATCTTCAATGGACTGCATTGGCTCACCTCAGGGCTATTACTGGTGCTCGTTGAGCAAGTTGACGATCAGAGGTCGGACGGGGGTCCGGGAACTGCTCCCCTAACACGGCGTCGCACACGCCGCACCTGCCGCCTATCGCAGGATTGCGATGGAAGATTGGAGCGCGCAATTTGTGAGGTAGGGAGCCCTTTAATTATTTGGATTGGCTGGCCGCTCTTTTCAATTCCAATGCGGACTTGATCGTCGTTTATATAGGAGGAGTCATTTCAATCAATCAAGTCTAATTAACATGCAAACTAAAAAGAAACAGAAGAAAAAAACGATAAAATCCAATGAAAAAGCAAGTCAATCAAGGAAAAATATCGCGTCCTATCGATCGGCGGGAGGCGGGGTGAGTACGGTAATTGCACTGACATCTGCCGCATGCCGCAAGGGAGAATGCCGCAATCGGAAAGAAGTTCCGTTACCCGTCGGACGGACAGGTAACGATCAGGCCAGAGCATTGACAATGTCGTCGTTAGGTACGCCGGATCTTCTACAGCAACTAAGAGTTGGAGCTCCCGAAGAAAATTATACGTTCACTCCAATCGCTTCTCAGCAATGAAGCAACCGAACAGACGCCCCTGCTACCAACTAGGAACTGTTTTTCGATTGCAACAAAATATAGTAATTATAAGGACTATATAAGAGAAATTTCTAGCGAAGCATTCGCTTCTCGGTCCGAAATAAGCTAAAAATTCCACACTGCGAGCTTGTTCCAAAGCTCTCATTCAAAAGAACATGGCAAATATTTTAAGAGACAATGATTTTTTGGTGCTTCTACTAACTTGTTTGCAGTGTGATGGAGACAAAAGCAGCACTCGGCCAGCCTTATCGCGAGGAATGTCCTGCAACTTCGGGATAGGGCTACGTCCTTCGCTGTTGCCTTTTCTCAAAAGTACCTGAAAGTAATGATGTAGTGATATTGACGTGAAATCGAGTAGCACCGGTTTACAGGATTCTGACTGATTCTATTTATCTCACTCAAACAACTAACAAAAAGCGTATGCTTCAAGTGGAGACGTTTGAAGTTTTTTAACGTATAGTATATATTTATATTATATATAGGACCAGTAGGATCGTCCGGCTAACGCTTGGTTGCCTTCCCTCTTGTCTCTTATTCGAAATTTGCGGTTGACCCTCTACCTCTCTTTTTTGAACGAGCGAATTGTTTTGACGATAGAATTCTCAAAGAGGAATACCCCTAGACCGAGGTCACTCGACATGGATGCACAAGTTTATGGCTCATTTTTCTTTTTTTTTTAAATGTTTATCTGCTGGCCCTCACCGTAACCATCCATCAAGCATTATTTCCCTGATCGGGTCTTATGGCACAGTGAGTTAGTAATTATAGAACAAAAAGCTTGAAGTGCACTTCTCAATGTTGTACAATGATGCAAATCCACTAAGGAGATAATAAGGTCACACTGCATATGCAAAAGAGCTTAAAGACCTTAAACCTGAAATCCTCAATCAGCTTTCACCAGCTTTGGTCCTTTCTTATCTCCGTTGCAGTCATACTCATATCACACTCCTGTGTAGCAATGCTACGCTGCTATACAGAAGGAGAAGCTTGATCTAGCGGCAATTGTGAGCTCTTAGCAGCTGTCATCAGTTTTTGTGAGAAGTACAGAGGTCATCCACAAGGTCCAAGTTTCTACTGTTAACAGAGCTGCAAACTCAAAGACTCCTGCCTACCGCAACTCCTTACCGGTCCCCATCAGCTGTTATCAATTTCCATCACCTACCATTAGCGTTCAAACCATGCTACCTTTATCCTTTTCGGAATTGAATGCCCTAGGTTAAGAAGTCAATGAAACACACAAAATCAGACACTGATATACATATATATTGAATAAACAAACATCCACCGACATACCCAAGTAAACACGATTAGCGAATTATTTATATAAATATAAAGATTAAAATAATATATATATATATATTCGAAATGTAGTATATATATATAAATTTAATATTATAATATATATTATTATACACATTATATTATATAATAATATATATTAATATAATATTATAATATATATTGTTATATTTTACATTAGCAGTTTGGCTATGCACGCTAACGCGCGCAGTATATGTCGACGGCCACTTATCCACGATGGAGTCATTCAGTGGAATGTTGGATAATCAGAATAGGATAGTTCTCTCTAGATTCGAACGCTGAACTGCTGATAGCATAACGCTCGATATATTTTATTTCACAGT